CTGCGCACTACTATCCCAGCTATGAAACAAGTCTTGGTCAGTTTTGTTTCTGTAACATTAGAACATCACACTTTAGCTGGGTAGAATTTAGAGGTTTATTTTCAGTCTGTGCAAAACTAAAGTTCAAAGCAAATTTAATTTTGCTTAAGGGAACATTGTAAAGTAACAATTCTTGGTATTACATGCCTCATATGATCCATCTCAAACCATAGAGAATTACATCCTCACGTGTCACTGTTTCAAGAGACAAAGGTGAACAGCTAAAACATCTTAAAAATGCACTAAGCTTATGAAGTCTCAAACAAAACTTGAATTTTCTGTACATACTCCCGTCGAATGAAGTTAATTTCTGTACACCACTTCTCTTGCAAACTGATCTTCTATTTCCTTTCATTTGACCTAGATCGGCTGCGAGACCTAGAGAAGGACCGGGACAGCTTGTGATTTCTCTCCCTAGATAGGGATCTCTCCTCCTATCTCTAGAAAGAGACCTGCTCCGGCTTCGAGAAAAACTTCTCCTTCCTGGAGATCTGCGGCGAGGGGGAGGACTCCTCCTACGATAATCACCTCGAGGGCGACAACCCCAAGAAGGAGGAGGGCCACGATTTCGACTTATTTTTTCACCATTGGACAGTTCCACTCTGACTCGGCAGCCGCATAATGTTCTTCCATCTAGCTCTCAGACAGCATCAGCTGCATCTCGGGGATCCTCAAATTCAACAAAAGCAAAGCCGGGAGGGTTTCTAGCAACCCACACACTTCGTAGTGGTCCATAATAGCCGAAAGCCCGGTCCAGCTCAGTCTTGTTGCCATTGTTGCCAAGATTCCCTACATAAACCTTACAGTCCAATGGGCAGGAATCAAGATGCATCTAGAGGTCCGGGGTTAGAAGTGCGGAGACTCAAATCCAAACAGCCCAACGGCCCTCCGGCTCCCCTCCGACTCAGATACTGCAGATGCTCTTGCTAACCCGGCGTCCACGAAATGGCCCTGTCTCAAAATTTTTAAAAAGCACTCGGGACACAGCTCAGTACAAAGTTCCTGTGTTCAATCCTTACGAAAGAAAGAAAGAAAGAAAGAAAGAAAGAAAGAAAGAAAGAAAGAAAGAAAGAAAGAAAGAGAGAGAGAGAGAAAGAAAATGAAAACCAATTGAGAGTAGTGGTGTATTCCTGTAATTCCAGCCTTCAGGAGGCTCAGGCAGGAGTATGAGTACCAGGCCAGCCTGGAACATAGCAAGTTTGAACCCAGTCTGGACTATAAAGTGAGATCCTGTCTCAGCAACAACTATAACAACAAAACAACCCACACCACTGCAGAGTGCAGAGTGCACTCCTGTAATCCCAGCTACTTGACAGGCTAAGGCAAGAGAAGCCTTAAATTTCAGCCAAGACTGGGCAATTTACCGAGACTTTGTCTCAAGATTTAAAAAATAAATACAAAGGGCTGGGATGTAGCTCAGTGGTAGAGTGCCCCTGAGCTCTATCCCCAGTCCTGCAAATAACAAAACAAACCCAGAGAGAAGGGGATGGTGACACATGCTTATAATTCCAGCACTCTGGGGAGCTGTGGCAGGAGGATTTCAAGTTTGAGCCCATCTTAAGCAATTTAGGAAGTTAGTGAGATGTTGACTCAAAATTTTAAAAAATTAAAAAGGCTGGTGTTATGGTTTTATATTTAGATATCCTCTAAGAGCCTCATGTGCTCATAGGTAGGGCACTGCCCTTTTTTGGGCTGAAAGAGGGAAATGTTTCCCAGAGTTCAGCCATCTAGGCACTCAGAGGCCTCCACAGCCATGATTCAAAGGGCTCAGCTCCTGCTGCAGCTTCTGGCAGACCTTAGCACCATCCAGGTGGTGCTGGTTTTCTAGGCATGCAGGATGCAAGATTTGTGGGGTCGGCTGGAGATTTAGCTCAGTGGTGCTGCTGCCTGCCTTGAAAGCGCTAGGTCCCGAGTTCGATCCCTGGTACAAAAAAAAAGAGTTGTGGGGTCAGGGAGGCTTCCACCCAGATTTGAGAAGACCTGGGAGGCCAGGCAGCAGTGTGCTACCAAAAGGGTGATGCGTGAAGCTTTGAGAGAAAAACTGAAAGTAGAGTGGAGACCCCAGGAAGTTGGAGAAGCCAGAAATGTGGAATGTATGAAGAAAGCTTCAGGCAATGAGCAGAGCCAGTCCAAGAGAGAAGCTATGAGAGCTGCAACCAATAATGCCATAGGGGTGGGGCTACCCAAGCTCATTAGAGTTCATATCTTTTTTTTTTTCTTTGGTACTGGGAATCGAACTCAGGACCTTGCACTTGGCAGGAAGGTGCAGTGCCACTGAGCCACATCCCTGGCCCTTGGAGTTCACATCTTTGCCCCAGGTACTGTTCATGGATCTACAGAATTTAATGTTTGCCCTGCTTTTGGAGTTGCTTTGGTTCCATTGGTTTATACCTCCCTATTCCTGCCTTTTGGAATGAGAATGTTTACTGTATGCCACAGTATATTGTCTGCTTAATTTTTTTTTTTTTTGTATTTTGAGACAGGGTCTCACTGTGTAGTTCAGGGTGGTCTTGAACTCACTATGTAGCTCAGGCTGGCTTCGAACTTGTGGCAATCCTCCTGCCTCAGCCTCCCAAGTGCTGGGATTATAGGTGTGCAGCACTATGCTCAGCTGAATTTGGACTTTTCAGCACTGCCAAAACTGTTAAGACTTTGGTGACTCTTAGAGATGGACTAAATACATTTGGTTTAAAGAGATGTGCATGGGTCTTTTGCGGTCAGGGACAGAGTACCATGGCTTATAGCTAGATGTCCCCCAAGAGCCTCACGCACTCATAGGTGGGGCTTTGGAAGGTAACTGAATTATGAGGGAGCTACAGCTGACTTGCTGTTAAGAGATGGGGCCTGGGCCGGGGATTTAGCTCAGTGGTTTCGCCACCTGCTGCGCAAGCGCAAGGACCCGAGTTCGATCCCTGGTACCAAAAAAAACCCCCCAAAAACCAAAAAACAAACAAACAAACAAAAAGAGATGGGGCCTGTTCAGAGATGTGGCACTGGGGGCGTGACCTGCAAGTGCATATCTCCCTCTCAGGCTCCTTCCCTCTTTCCTAACTTCCTGGTCAACTTGATGTGAGCAACTTCCTTCCACCACTCCCTTCCACCATACCTTGGAGCCAGGCAACTAGGGATTAAACATAGGAGCCAAAATAAACCTATCTTTAAATTGTGGGTGTCAGGTATTATGTCCTAGCAATGAGAGAGTGACTAAGACAGGTAGGGATGTAGCTCAGTGCATAGGTCCTAGGTTCAATCCCTAGTACTAGAAAAGAAAAGAAAAAAAACCCTCACAAAAAACAAGCCATGTGTAATTTCAGTCTCAGCTATCTGGAAAGTTGAGGCAAGAGGATTGCTTGAGTTTAATAGGAGCAGCAAAAAAATAAATAAAGTACAATGATAAAAGGAATAGTTGGAAATATTTAGCTTCTAAAAGGCACCATACCCAATTGGATACATCAGACCGAGGATTTAGCTCAGTGGTTTCTCCCCCTGCTATGAAAGCACAAGGACCCAAGTTCAATCCCCGGTACCAAAAACAAAAACAAAAACAAAAAAAACACCAATTGAATACATCAATATTTCTTTCAAACTCAACTTTACAAGAAAGAAGTTTACAGCCATACCACATCTTGGCCCCTACCACCCTGAGCAGACCTGGTCTCATCTGATGTTGGAAACTAAGCAGGCTCGGGCCTGGTTAGTATTTTCTTAGTGTGGTGACATGTGCTTATAATCCCAGCACTCAGGAGGCTGAGGCAGGAGGATCACTGTGAGTTGGAGGCCAGCCTGGGATACATAGTGCGACCTTGTTTCAAAAACAAACAAAAGGGGGCCGGGGATTTAGCTCAGTGGTTCTGGCACCTGCCTCGCAAGTGAAAGGTCCCGAGTTCAATCTCCGGTACCAAAAAAAAAACAAAAAAAAAAAAAATTAGGCTGGGGATTTAGCTCAGTGGTTTCGCCGCCTGCTGTGAGAGCACAAGGACCCGAGTTTGATCCCCGGTACCAAAAAAAAAAAAAAACACAAAACCAAACAAAAGGTGGGATTCTAGATGTATTTGGGAGAAAAACAGATTAACTCGTGGGGTTGCTTTGGGGCTGGCATTGGGGTCAAGGAAAGGTGAAGGAAAGGCATTGGAGAGGAACCTCTTGGTTTCTGCTTTAGGGAACTTCACCAGTGGCAGTGCTGTGCAACTGAGATAAAGAAACCTGGAAGAATTTAGGAAATCTCTTGGTTTTTCCCCAAGGGTGTTTGTTTGCTTCTTATGAGACTTAATAGGGAACTGGCAATATTGAGCATTCAGCAGCTGCCTTTCCTTTTCTAGAGAATTCTGTGAATGTATGTATTACAATACTGAAGTTTCCTTGTCACAAGGACTTCGAAACTATGCCCGGCCTCGCCCCTCCTGGCCCCGCCCCTTCCCCCCTCCCCCGTCCGTCCCGCCTCTTTCCCCGCCCCCAAGAGCTGCGAGCTGGGTAGTTTCTCAGCACGGACCTCTCTCCAAAAGGCTGGACTCGGTCCTGAAGCAGCCGTTTCCTCTTAGTCTAGTAGCACCAGAGTGATTGACGGGTCTGTTCTCCAGTCATCATGCCGATTGACCAAGTAGGCGGTAACACAGGCGAGGGCAGAAGTATGAGACACGGGTGACCAGGAAGTGAGAGCCGAGACTGGAGAGAAGGGCGGACAAATCCTAGGCGGCAGGAGAAACCCGACCCGGGATCCGAATACCACAATTTCTTCCTTTCCGGATCAGGGGTCCTTTGCAGTCGGGGGTTAGGATCTCTATTTGCCCTTTCTTTGGAGGCAGGAGTGTGTCGGCTTACTTTGAGGATCTTGGGCTCCTTCCTCTCCTTTCTCCTCCAGGGGAGGGTCTCTTGGCCTGAAATGGACTCCTCTTCGGGGGCCGTAAGGTTGTTTGAGATCCTTGTAGGTGGTTAAGGATCTCAGGACTCAGGCCGATGGACAAGGACAAGAGAGATGGGGATTTGAGATTCTCGAACTCTGCCCCTTTCCTAGGAGTTGGACACCTTGGGGTGTGGCCGGTGGAGAAGGTGGAGGGGTCCTGGAAACTAGATTCCTGTGGTTAGGAAACTGAGACTGGAGTACGGATTGAAGAAGAAAAAAGTGGAAGTATTTCTTAGGTGGAAGTTGTGGTAGTTCCCCAAGTGAGGCGGAATCTGGTGTTGGGTTCGGGCTTTAAATTTTCTTCCCACCTCCAGATCTGTGAGCTGTGCCTCTTTTATCTCCTCAGGCTAGGGGAAACACCTGAACATGTGGAATCCCAGTGCCGGTAAGTATTTGGGAGATTTGTCCCAGTCCAGTCCATTAAAAAAAATATAGTCCAGGCTGGCCTTGAACTCACTGTGTAGCCCAGGCTGGCCTGGAACTTGTGATTTTCCTGTCTCAGCTTCCTAAGTGCTGGGATTACAGATGTGCACCACCATGCCAGGAAATATATATATATATATATGTGTGTGTGTGTGTATATATATAT